AGGAGGAGGATGAGGAGGAGGAGGAGGAGGAGGAGGGGCAGGAGGAGGTGCCCCCTCCCTCCGCCCGCGGCCCCACCTCCCGCAGGAGGACGCCAGCTACACCTCCCACACCCTTCCTGGCCGGGCCGACTCCGGGCCCGGGATCGGTGCACGTGCGCCTTCCTGGCTGAGGCACGGGCGTGCACGCCGATCCCGGGCCCAAGATGAGCCCGACCAGGACCGGTGCAGGTGAGGAGGCAACTACTGGGAGGTTCTCGTCAGAAAGACCAAGAAGGATGGAGCCCCATTTGGGAGCCGTTACGCCCCAGTGGGTCTCGGACTGAGCAGGATGAAGCCGGAGTAAGCGGGATTCAGCGGGATCAAGCCGGATTCAGCGGGATTCAGCCGGAGTAAGCCGGACTTCGGACCAGGGCAGAACCAGAACTTGACCTCCCAGGATTTGCATCCGAATGTGGGTGTGTAGCTGGCGCGCCCCGACCCTCCTCCCACGCCGTGGCTCACTCAGAACGTCAATCCCCAAAGATCTGGGCCCCTTCCGGGACACCAGCTTCTCGTCCTGGGTCGTTTTTTGCCGGCTCTGGGGCCCAGTAAGGGCCCCCAGAAACCGGAAATCACCGAGAACCTCCCGTCGTAATCCCACCAGCCCTCCGGGCGGAGGTGGTTTGGCGCACTATTTCTTCCAGAGCGGGGCTTATCTCTGCTTCTTCTTTCCATCACCCACTCCCCCACCCGAACAGCGACAAACCCAGGCCAATGAGGCTCCCCGCCAGTCCAATCAAAAAACAATGCAAAGTACACTTTGCAGCAAAACCTTGGGTCATGTTCGGGGGCCCAAGAGCACTTTGTAACAGGGACGGCGAGGGTGCCAGCTTATGACCTGCTGCGCGCAGGGCCACCATTCCGTGTCCAAAATATCAAGCTGCACTTCGAGATTGAATCTGGATCATGCGCGGCGGGCACCCCGCAATCACCTTGCATTGGTTTTTGACAAAGACGGCGGGGGAGCTCGCATACTGCCTGCTGTGTGCGAGCCCACCAGACATCGTGATGGCCACTCCGCAGGGATTGCGCGCTGGCGTTCGACAAGGATGGTGGGGGCCGAAATGTTTCCCGATGTGCGCGGGCGCACCTGGCACCCTCTGCGCGCGTTCCGAACGTATAGAGAAAAGGAACCTATGCACATACACCGAATCTGGCCAGGCCCACCCTGAGCCCAGGATCGGTGCATACGCCCTCTACCTTGGCCAGGCAGGTATGTGCACCGATCCTGGGTCAAGGACGGGCCTTGCCAGGATCGGTGCATGTGTATAGTTCTCTTCGCCCAAAACGTAGGGCGCCTAGTGCGGCTGGAGCATGCGGCACGCGTGGAGCACGTGGCGCATCTGGCGTACCAGGCGTGCCTGGCACGCCTGGGCACCAGGGGCGCCTGGCAGACCTTGTGCCCTGGACGGGAGGTTCGCGGGTCGCTGGAGCAGCCAGGATGGCCCAAGATGGCTCCCAGAGGGCCTCAGAGAGCCCAAGATGACCTCCAAGATGGCTCAAGATAACCCGAGATAGTTCAAGATGGCTTCCAACATGCTCCAAGAGACTCCAAAATTGCCTCAAGATGGGTTCAAGAGGCCACGGAGCCTCCTGCGGAAGCCGCCGAGAGGCCAGAAACCGTTCAAAAACTAAAGAAAATCAATGATGTTTGCCTTCTCGTCGTTTCGCTTCCGACGGCCTTCCGAGGCCGCAAGGTGGCTCCAAGATAACCCAACATGGCCCCAAGAGGGCCCCAAGAGGGGCCCAAGACGGTCCCAGGAGTGCCCAAAGAACGCCCGAGGAGGCGATTTGGGTGGGGGTCCTGAGGGGGGAACGCGCATCCCCCCCTTCGCTGATCGATGTCCTCCTCGATGGCCCAAAGAAGCCCCGAGGCTCCCAAAAGGACCTCAAGAAGGTCAAGCCCCAAAGGCTCGCAGAATGGACGCAAGGCGGCCCAAGAGCCACCAGCACCGCCCCAAGAGCGCTCCCATGAGGGCTCCAAGAAGAGACGTTTCGACCCCAAGATAGTTCGCGCCGCCCCCTTTCCTCCCTCCCTTCCCCCCCATCATCCTTCTCAACATATTTGTTTCTCTTCCTCCTCCTCCTCCTCCTCCTCCTCCTCCTCCTCCTCCTCCCCCTCCTCCTCCTCCTCCTCCTCCTCCTCCTCCTCCTCCTCCTCCTCCTCCTCCTCCTCCTCCTCCTCCTCCTCCTCCTCCTCCTCCTCCTCCTCCTCCTCCTCCTCCTCCTCCTCCTCCTTCCCTTCTCCTTCAAAAAACTCGAAGAAACTCTTCCCTGTCACACCCCGAGGCCAGTTTTTAGGGCGGGCCCGGCGTTTCGCCTGAGATCTCCTCGCCGTTTATGGCTCCGAAACTTAAAGAGTGACAACAGCTTCACGGATGGAGGGCGGATGGTTTTCAAAATGTGGCTCTCGCCTAAGCGCCAAGAACCTTCTTTTCCCAAATTTGCAAAAGCTTCACGGATTGAGGGCGGGTCGTTTCAAAATGGGGTTGTCGCCTTAGCGCCAAGCACATTCGTTTTTTATGTACAAGAGCCTTACTGTTGGAGGGCGGGTGGTTTTCAAAATATGGCTCTCGCCTCAGCGCCGCGCAGATTCGTTGTCAAAATTTGCAAAAACTTCACGGATTGAGGGCGGGTCGTTTTCAAAATGTGGCTCTCGCCTCGGCGCCGCGCACATTCTGTTCAAACATGTGCAGCAAGGGTTTCACGGATTGTTGGCGGGTGGTATTCAAAATGTGGCTCTCGCCTTAGCGCCGCGCACATTCATTTAAAAACTTCTGCAAGAATTTCAAGATTCCCATGATCAAAGTACCCAAAATGGTGTTTGGGAAAGACTCAAGATTATGCGAACGCAACGATTATGTTGATCCGCGGAGTTGAGATCCAAAAATGGCGTTATGGCACGATTCCAGATCACCAACACGCAGCTATCAGGTTGATACGTGGCGTTGCAATCCCGAGAACAATGTTTCGGCATGATTCAGGATCTTTAACCGGTTGTCCTCCACGGAGGCAGTTCCCTCAATGGAAATGAACCGCTGCAGGGGCCTATGAAGAGAGAGCTTGGAGGGAGAGTTATTCCAAGATCGTTGGTGATTTTTGGGTATACACTGGTCCTCATCCTCCTCATCCTCGTCCTCCTCCTCCTCATCATCATCAGCATCCTCTCACCCAGGGTTCACCAGAAGTTGAATGAGAACGTGTTCCATCAAACTCATATTCCTTGTGCTTGCCTTCCTCCCCGCCCTCATCCTTCTCCTCCTTTTCCTCCTGCTCCTCCTCCTCCTCCTCATCATCATCATCATCAACATCTTCCTGATACACCTCCGTCTCCTCCTCCTGATACCCCTCCGTCTCCTCCATCATCCTTCCCCCTCCTCCTCATTTTCCTCCTCCTCCTCCTCCCCCTCCTCCTCCTCCTCTCCCTCCTCCCGCCTCATCATTGTCATCCACCCCTCCTTTCGGTTCTGCTCAATCTGTTTCGAAATTTCAATTTGACTGGCTTCCCCCGTTCTCTGTTCCACTGCCTGCTCGCCCCTTCCGTGATCTAGACAGCTTGCCTGGGCAGACCTTGTAAATGGGTTGGCGGGGACAACTTTTGGTACGCAGGCGCACGAATCAAGTCGGACGCCGGGCAAGCAGGGACAGGCGATGCCACATGCGAAGGAAAAGCTGGCGGGGATACTTTTTTGTAACCAGCCGCAGGCGAACGCGCCGACGGCGTGTCAAGGTCCGAGCGGGCCGCGCGAGGTCCTAACTTACCTAGCACGAACAGGCCTACCACCGCAACTCAGGCCGTGACCAAGGAAGGGGCCGAGGGGGGGGCAGTGGGCTGCAGGCTGCACTCGCTGGTGGGGATATTTTTGTTTGGGTCGCGGCCGCGAGCGAAGAGGCAGGCGGCGAAAGCAAAGTCCGGGGCGCGAACGAGGCTAATTAGCTACAACAGGCACAGGCCGGCCGGCCCACTCACAAAGCAGCCGCGAAGCTGAAGGGGAGCTGACGGCGGGGGGCATCCTGAGAGCTCGAGCACGTGCACAAGACAAAGTGTCATGGAATTCGGTGCCTGCCATGGCACGACCCACACAGTATGAGACGTGGACCAGGACGACCAAGTCCGTCGTTCCGAGTGGGGGCAAATGGGAGGCCTGTGGAGTGAGTCGCCGGTGGGGCGCCAGGCTCCAAACGCCATTGACGACGTGAGATAGCCAGGGGGTCTGAGCTGTCGCGAACCGTGATGCAACGCAACTGGGGAAAGCTGATGGTGAGCCTGGGGTGCTGTAGCTACTGCGGAAGGCTGAACCACTCCGTGGCTATGCCAACACCCGTCAGACCACCCCACAGCGCAAGGGGAAACCAAGCGACTGTGAGCCACGCAGTGCGTGCCGGCACGGCGTCAGGCCTCTGAGTGAGGGGGGGAGACCAGCTGGCGTGGTGAGCATCGCCAGCGGGGAAGAGTAAGGGGAGCTGCACTGGTGGTAGTGCTGCCTTCTGAAGGACGCCAAACTGAACCAGGGACAAGCGTCAAGATTCTGCCCACAACCTGAGAATGTACAGCCAGGTTTTGTTGTTTAGTGAGTCGCGGCGATGGCTCTGGCGACACGCAATGCCGTGCAAGCGGATGGCGTGTCGCTCCGCTCCGCAGCGCGTGAGACTAAAAAAGGCTTTACACGGCTACGCTTGGAAATAAAGAGGTGATTAGCGTGTCGCGCCAAGGCCTCGTAAGCCAGAACGGGCAACGCGACACGCTGCGCAAACGTTCCTAACCGCCGTATAGGTAAGCCCGCCAGCCTGCCCTCTTTTATTATGGCCTTCTCTCAAGTCTTTCTTCTCCTCATCCTCCTCATCCTCCTCCCTCCCTCCTCCCTCCCTCCCCTCACCATCCCCTCCTCTCCCCTCCCCTCCCCTCCCATCCCTCCCCATCTCCTTTCTCCTCCCTCCTCCCTCCTCCCTCCTACCTCCTACCTCGTCCCTCTTCCCTCCTCCCTCCCTCCTCCCTCCTCCTCCCTCGTCCCTCTTCCCGCCTCCCTCCCGCTCCCCTCCTCCCTCCTCCCCCGCCCGACCCCAGAGCCCCCCCGCGGCGGCGCCCTTCGGCTGCGCCGCCCGTGCCCGCCGCGGCGGCGCGGAACGCCTACCGTGCGGGCGGTCGCCGCAGGTGCAGCCGCTGCCAGCCGCCGTTCCGTCCCATCCCTGCCTCCCCACCCCCACCAGCGGCAAAGGACGCCGAGGATTCAGGTTTCCCTGCATTCGCATCACAATTTTTTCGCCTCCAGACGCCTCCAGAGGCCTCGAAGGACCTCTGGAGGAGGACCTTCAGAAACCTCCGAGATCTCCCTCACCCAGGCCTCCTCTCCTGGCGCCGCCGTGAACAAATCACGACGGGCGCTTTTGTTCCGGACCTCGGCCACGCAAGGACCGTCGGAAACAGATCCCGCACAAAGAACTGAAGCTTGGGATGGGGTCGAAAGCTCAAGGGACCACGGATAGAAGAAACAACACGACGTTGGAGGCCTGCGAACCTATCCTCTCTCACATCTCGTCGTCATCCTCGTTATCCTAGTTCTCCTCGTCCTCCTCGTCCTCGTCATTCTCGTCCTCGTCCTCGTCCTCCTCCTCCTCCTCCTCCTCCTCCTCCTCCTCCTCCTCCTCCTCCTCCTCCTCCTCCCTCCTCCTCCTCCTCCTCATCCCCCTCCTCCTCCTCCTCTTCCTCCTCCTCCTCCTCTCCTCCTCCTCCTCCTCCTCCTCCTCCTCCTCCTCCTCCTCCTCCTCCTCGTTATCCACAACCTCCACAACCTCCTCAACCTCCTCCTCTTCTCCCCTCTCGTCTCCCCACCCCCCTGCCGCCCCTCCCCCTCCCCATGTCCTTTTGACATGCGCCGCCCACCCACCCCCGTAGCGGGCCAGAAAAAAAGACTCAAACTACCAATCAACATAAAATAACGGATGCCCCCGAAAGTGACGTAGTCTGCTGTAGCTCCGCCTCCTGGGGCGGGACGCCCTTTCTCCAGCACCGCTTGGCGCCCTTGGGCCAAGACCGGCCCCAAAAGAATATGCGCACTGGTCCCTCAAAGCACGAAGCATAGAACGGGGAGGGACGAGGGCGACGAGGGCAACGAGATGAGAGCGGAGGAGCATGAGACGGAGGCAGGATCGGGACAGAGTCGGAGGAGGAGGAGGAGGAGGACGACGACGACGACGCGGGCGACGACGGGGAGCACGAAGTGAGGAGTACCTGTGCTTCTGACGTCGTGAAGCTTGCCCACGGCGTGGGCCCCTGGAGCTCTCGGCCCCCGCCCCCGGGGGCCCGCTCCCCGCCGCGGGCCCGCCCCTGGGGCCGCCGTGGGGCCCCCCCCCCCGCACGCGCCCGGGGGGGGGGGGTGCAGCAGACGCCCGCCATGGCTTGTGCCGCGACGCGGTGAGGTCTGGGCGGGCCAGGGGCCAGGATCAGGACACGCACGCCCTCCCCCTCCTCCTCGCATGCATCCTCCTCGTCCTCCTCGCATCCTCCTCGCCACCCTCCTCTTCCTCCTCCTTCTCTCTCCTCTGTTCCTCCTCCTCCTCCTCCTCCTCCTCCTCCTCCTCCTCCTCGAACTCCACCTCCAACTCTTCCTACTCCTCCCCCTCCTCATCCTCCTGCCGCTTCAACTCCTCCTCCTCCTCCTCCTCCTCCTCCTCCTCCTCCTCCTCCTCTCCTCCTCCTCTCCTCTCTCCTCCTCCTCCTCCTCCTCCTCCTCCTCCTCCTCCTCCTCCTCCTCCTCCTCCTCCTCCTCCTCCTCCTCCTCCTCCTCCTCCTCCGTACTGCCGTCTTCGTCAAACTGGCCATCGTAGTCGCCATCGCCACCGCCGCCACATCATCACCACCGCCGCTACCGCCACCACCGCCGCCACGGCCGCGGTCGCGCCCTCGCAGACACCGCGCCCCCCCGCTGGCCCGTGGGAGGGGAAGCCTGCTCGGCGGAGGGGCCGTGCCGCCGGCCAGAGCGGAGCTCCTCGCGGAGCTGGCAGGCACGAATCGGGAGCGGCCAAGAGGGGGGTGTCCAAGAGGGGGGGGGGCGCAAATCATGACCGGCGGCATGTGCGCGGCCCAGGGGGTGGCCAGGCACACAACGAAATAAGAAGAGGCGCCATGAAATCTGGGGGAATATCATGGCCCCCGCCATGATATCCACCCCCCCCTAGTCATCACCCCCCTCTTTGCCGGCCCCGATATATGTTCGAGGATCTGCTGACCCAGGTCAATCCAGACCTGGGTCAGCAGGAAGCCAAAAAGCAGCAATGAAGGACAAAAAAATGCAACGCAGGTCTTCGCAAACCCAGGTCAGCCAATATGCGCGGCCGCCCCGCGGCCACGAGCGGCTCGCTAACCCGGGTGGGGTCTTCGCAAGATCCTGCAGGATCCAGTGCCCTGGCTGATCCCCGTTTGCATTGACCCCAGTCTTTTCAGCCCCGATACGGGCGTCTTTCCCCGCTTCCGGGGTCGGGACATCTGGGGCCGCGCATTGAGAGAATCACATCGTCGGAAGTCTGAGGACGGGTACGAGGAGAAGGGGGCCCCGACGACTCTTCGCCGCTGTCGGGGCTCCAGGGGCCCGCACCGGGCCCCGGGGCTCAGGATGGAGGGCTGGCCTCGCGGAATCAACCCCGCAGACAGACCCGGTTCCCCCGGGGCCCCCGTGCCTTCATGGCGAGGCGGGCGAGGGGCGGCACGGTCGAGACATTAGGGGAACAAAAAATGACACAAACATAAAAACTCGGAGGTCCGCGCGGATTTCTCGGATCCGCGCTGGACCCCCCTCCCTGGCGCGCGGAGCGCGCCAGGGGCGGCGCCAGAGGCGCCGCCAGGGGGGTCCAGTTTTGCGGATCGGCGCTGGACCCCCCTCCCTGGCGCGCGGAGCGCGCCAGGGGCGGCGCCAGAGGCGCCGCCAGGGGGGTCCAGCGCGGATCCGAGAAATCCGCGCGGACCTCCGAGTTTTTATGTTTATGCCATTCTTCGTTCCACTAGACATGGCCGCAAGTGCGCGGGGCGGCCACGCCATGAGGAAGCATGGCGTCGGGGGTCTGGGCGGGAGGCCCCTCCCCCCATGGGGAGGTCCCGGGCGGTCCGCGGAGGCCTCCCGATTTCTTGTGACGTCGCGGCGCGGCAGAGGCAGCCCGCACGCACGCTCCAGCGGGCCGTGGAGCGGCAGAAGCTGCCTGTCCAGCGGCCACAAGGAGCGGGCGGGAAAGGCGCAAGCGGCCGTCGAGGAGGGAAAAGGGGAGGGGCTGCTCGCAGGGCGAGGTGCATCGCCTTGGAGCGGCCAGTGCGGCCAACCAGTGCTGCGTCACCCTGGCAGTGGGCGCGGGGCGGCATCGCGGCCACACCCCGCCCAAAAGCCTCCCATCTTCGAAGGCCGGAAGAGTTGGAGGAGGCATGGACGTGCGGGGCCCGGCGAGCGGCCAGGGACCCGGGCTGGCACGACCAAAATGAAGACCTGGCGAGCGGCCAAGAACCCGGGTTGGCACGACCAGGCTGGGGGAGGAGAGTAGGGGGACGACGTTGTTGTCCAGTCAGGAGGAGTAGGGAGGAGTGCAGGAGGATAGTAGGACGAGAGTAGGCGGAGAGTGGGGGGGAGGAAAGGAGGGGAAGCAGGAGGAGAGAAGGGGGACGATGCCAAATAGCACATGTTGTCTAAGATCGACAGCGGTCGCCAGTGGGCATGCGACGCTCGCCCAGTCCGCGGCGGTGCCGACGGCGAAGCCTCTTCAAAATGGGTACGGACTGTTATCGTCCTTCTCTTGGCGGGGAGCCGCAGGGGGAAGTGAGGAAGGGGGGCAAGCCTTCCTTCCCCGAAGGCACAGAAACCGCTCAGAAGGCGCGAGGGTTTCCGAGAAGTCCCGCCTCCTTCTGCGAAGGCCTTCTCCTTCTCATTGCCCCCCCTCGCTCGCCGCCGAAACGTTTACATCTCCCTACATGCCTTCGGTGCCTCGACATCGAGGCACGATCCCATGGGTACACGATCCCATGGGTACGTCTCGCGCGGGGCATGCGCGGAAAGCCGCCCAGTCTCCGTGGGGGTCGCGGCCGAGGAGTCCAGACCGCGAGGCTGTGAACATGGAGATGCGCACTCCCGCCCACGATTGAGGTCCCATTCGGCGGAGAACAAGATGCCGACGCCGCCGCTCCCCAGACCCTCCAGGCCTCTCCCGGGGTGCGCTCTGAGCAGGACTCCGAGGCGAACCCAGCCACGGCGGCGAGGCCCACACCCCAGGAGGCCCAGAAAGGAAAGAACGAGGCGGCAAGGGCAGAGGCGTTGGTATCTGTCGCCCTCCGCCCCGAGAAGGAGGCATCTGCTGCAGGAGGGGCTTTGTTCAACGATGCCCGCCCCAGCACGAGGGGGAGCTGCCCCTCGAGACGCGCTCTCCTGCTCAGACCCCAGACGTCCGACGGCACGCTTCCCTTCGCTTGGACGCTGGGGCAAGTGTGTCGGCCCGGATCCACTTTTGGGGGGGGCCACGTGCGAACCCTACCCCTCCCCCTCAGAAATCGTGGGGGGGGTAGGGGTAGGGTTCACATGTGGCCCTTGGTGCCCCCGGGCCCGAAAACGAGCCCAGGACGCCGCAGTCGCGGCAAAAAAACACAGATCGAGAAAAAGACAGATCGCCGGCAGCCTGGGCCTGCCGGCCTCCGTCGGCCCCCCCTCCCGCCCTCCCCCCCAACCACCCTGACCTTCCAGGAGGGCCAAAAAATAGCACCAGGACGTCGACGTCCTCATTCCTGTCGAGGCTTGAGGCAGTCCAGTTAGATCTATAGGTCTGGAGTGGTACTTTTTAGCCCTCTGGAAGGTCAGGGCCAGAAAGAGCCGTCCTCGGCGGCCGCAGACCGCACGCGGCGGACGAAGTCCGCGTCCGCGCTCCCCGGCTGCGCGAGCAGCTCCTCGGGCGCACGCGCGCGCGCGCGCCCCCGCGCGCGCAGACCTCCGAGGGCCCTCCGCGGGCCTCCGAGGGCCTCCGAGGGCCTCCGAGGGCCTCCGAGGGCCTCCAAAGGCCGCCGCGAGCCTCCGAGGGTCTCCGAAGGCCTCCGAGGGCCTCCGAGGGCCCTCCGAGGGCCCTCCGAGGGCCCTCCGCGGGCCTCCGAGGGCCTCCGAGGGTCTCTGGAAGGCCTCCAGAGGGCCGCCGCGAGCCGCGGCGAGCCGCCGAGGGCCGGCGCGGGCCTCCGCAGGCCGCCGAGGCTCTGCTGCAAGCCTCCGAAGGCCTTCGAGGGCCTCCCGGCGCGAGGGGGCCGCCAGTGCCCAGGAGCTCCCCAGAGGCTCCGCGGAGGCGCCCGCGAGGCCCCCAGGCGAAGGCCCAGCGGCCCTCCCAGAGGAGCTCCACGAGGCCCCCACCTGGAGCACAGGGTCGGTGGCTCTCGGGGGCTCCGGGCTCTGGGACGCCAGGAAGGGGAGAAGGGGAGGGGAGGGGAAGGGGAGGGGACGAGAGGAGATGCCAGGAGGAGAGAGTAAACCGTAAACGGGGGAGCGCAGGGGAGGAGGAGAGGAGGGGAGGGGAGGAGGGGCGGAGAGGACAGGAGAGCAGGGGAACAGAGGAGGCGAGGAGAGGAAAGAAGGAGGGGAGAGGAGGAGGGGAGATGGCGAGGTGAGCTGATAGGAAGAAGGTAGAAGCGGAGAGGAAAAGAGAATATGATGACAAGAACGGATGACGAAGATCGGATAGATCAGAGAGGACAGTGCAGAGGAGGAAGGGGAAAACATATACGATAGCTTGGGATATGATGGCTGAGATCCTATACGGGGTCCCCAGAAAGACGCAGAAGGCCCCGAGACTGCCCAATGGGTCACAGGAAGCTGGAAAATCTGCCCGTGGGGCCTGCGAAAGGGTTCCCCGAGGAGCAAAGACAGTCCGAAGCGACGAGACGCATTTTGAGAGTTACTAGTAGCAAAGCGTGCCAAGGTGCGCGCGCGCGCGCGAGCGGCCTGCGAGGAGGCCATCGCGGGGCAGGCGAGGGGAACGCAAGTGGCAGGTGGCAAGTGCGCGCGTGTCCGAAAAAGCCCAACGAAGGGGCGCGCGGCTCGGGGCTGAGGCACTTAGGAATGGAGTACTAAGGCTTGTTTAGTGGCCAGGGCGGCTCCTGCTGTCGAGTCCACAGGCGAGGGAGGGCGCAGAAGCGCTAGGGATACGTGAGGACGAGAAGGCAAGGAAAGGGTGCAGGGAGGGAAGCACTGGCCACCAGCGTACTAAGGTCAGAGTTGTGGAGGTACGCTGGAACCCCTCCCTACGGCCGTCTTCGTTGGCCGATGGGACCGTAGGGAGGTACCGCATGGGCGAAAGTGTTGCCTTCGACCTTCGAAGGCCGAAAAGGGAGGCATTTGAACGGTGCTGAAGTGTTTGTCGTTGCGGTTCCGATTAGAGCCTCTGGAGGCCCCCGTGTTGGGGGAGGAACGCCGTCACCCACATTTGAAACGCTGCATGCAAATTAAATTAAGGCCGCCATGCGCGGGGGAGGAGGAGGAGGAGGAGGAGGAGGAGGAGGAGGAGGAGGAGGAGGAGGAGGAGGAGGAGGAGGAGGAGGAGGAGGAGGAGGAGCCCCGGCGCGACAGGAGGAGAGGAGGCCAGACCCACTCAGAGTCACCGACAGCGGCAGGGGGAGCGCCGAGGGGGGGGACCAGCGCCGGCACTAAGTGGGGGGGAACGCAGCCCGGCAAACTGGGCGGCTGGTGGGGGAGCAACCCGAGCGAAGCAGAGGCTCGACCCAGCGAGCCGATAGGCGCGGCGCCGTGGAAGAGCCAGAGCGCCGAGACCTGGGGGCCTCGGGGCGCGGCAGACCAAGGGGCAAAGAGCGCCGAGACCAGGGGGAGCCTACGAGGTGCAGCAAGAGGCGGGAGGCGGAGGGCGGGCAGGCACAACGGTGCCTCGACAAGCGACACCGTGGCCCAGCGAATGGCGGAGAACGGCGATCCAGAATCGGAGCCACACTGGGGCGCGGCACGGAGCTGGGGGCGCCAGGGAAAGCTGGCGGAGCAGGGGAGAGGACCACGCCAAAAGGGGGAGCGACGCGGCCCAGGGAGCAGGGAGGCCATCAGAGCCGGACGCGCGCCGAGACCAGAGGGCCTACTGGGCGCAAGCCGCGGTGGCCGGGCAAGGCGCCGCAGAGGAGCGGCAGCGTCCGGCTCGCCAGTCACCGGCGGATGAATGCGAAGCCTGAAAACCAAGCAAAATAGGGGGGGGCACCGACTAGGTACAAGGACGATTACGGAGCACTCCCTGCGGCCAGAGGCGCAGCCGTCGAAGAAGCGCCACGGCGCATGGAAGGCCCGCGGCGGCCCCCCGGCGCAGCCGCAGAGAATCAGGGAAGCGACGAGGCCAGGGAGCGGAGGAAACTGCGAAGGATGGCGGCGTCGCATCGGCCGGGCCCCCTGTTGCCCCCGCCGCGCCGAGAGCAATACCTGGCACGCCGCACTGTGTCCGCCGCCTGCTCGCTGCATGTCCTTGATTGCGGCGACCACGGCCTCGTTAGAATTGAGGGGGGCGCGTCAGAGGACGCCTGAAACGGGCCCCCACCCCGTGGAAGGCGGTTCAAGACCACCCCCCGGCGCAATGGGAGTGGCCGAGAGGCGACAGCGCCCCAGCGGGCAGGCCAGCCAGACCCAAACCTCTTGCAGGCCAGTCTGACCTGAAACTGTTTACGTCGACGGCTTATTCTTCTGTCTCCAGCGTTTACTTCGAGCCCTCGTGGCCTTCTGCGCCCTCTGGATAAGCGTCTCCCCATCCTTTCTCTCACCCGCTCCATCCACCTCCACATCTGGCGGCGCGTTTCTCCAGGGACGTCGGGGGGCCACCACGGCGCAGCGCCCCGGAGAGGCACCTCGAGGATCAAGAGGCCCCGACCCAAACGCCACGCCACACTTGCCAATCCCCGTTGATCAGGCGGGAACCAGCCTCACGTTGCTAGCTGCGTAGGGGGAGATTCTAGGAATCCAACCGCCCCCGCACAAACATGGCAGCGAGCCGAGCCGGCCCGCCCCACTCGAGATTTGTGCCGACATACGGCGGCGAGGAACAAATTAAAGCTCGCACACGACGCACGCACCAAACAGGGCGCCCACCACCAAACAGCGCAGCCACCGCGAGGCGACGGGAGCTGCTATCCGGGCCAGGGGGAACCCAGTAGCACTCCCATCCGCGGATTGGCCGCCCCCTGGGTGCCAGCGCAGCACCCCGAGCACTCGATCGAAACGCCCCCCGGGCCCCCAGAGAACGTTGCCCCGCGGCTCAACCGGGAGGCTTGGGCACTTCGAGCCAGGCGCCACACCGCCCAGCCACGACACCCGAGTCGCACGTTGGCGCCATAGCACCGCCACGCAACGACCCAGACGCAAGGTGGGGAGGATCTCTTCCCTACTTAAGCATCATACCACCTACGCCGTCATCGAGAGCGCTGCAAACTCCCGTCCGAATCGGCGGTCCACGGGCGCGCCGGCGCGGTTGGCGGCCACACCCGGCACCCCGGCACTGGGAGCAGGGCGTAGGCCGGCGAAAACTACGGACGCGCCCCCCGAGATCATCGCCAATGCTGCACGTGGCATTCCTTTCCGAGGATCCGAAATGCTGTAGGGACCAGCCCTGCGCGCGTGCCACGCTGCACAAGCGCACACACACACACACACACACACACAAGCGCGCACATACGTGCCAGACACGCGCACCACACGAACGCGCACACACGCGCGCAGAGACACTGCACACGTCTGTCGCCAATATTTGTAACTCCGCCGTGCCAGTCGCCGTCATGGCCACACGACTGCTGGCGCTCTCGACCGCCAACTTCTGCTTCCCCCCCCAGCGTCGCCGGGCGTCAGCTCGCGGAAGCCCCGGCCCGGCAGCCGGCGGGGGCCGCGGCGGCGGCAACAGCGCACGCGCCCGCGGCGGCGGCCGCAGGGTCAGCCCCGGCAGGGCTGGCTGGGCCAGCCGGCGGCGCCAGCCCACGGGGCGGCGCGCTGCTTAAGGCGGCCGCGAGCCGCTGGCGGCGGCGGCGGCGGGCCGATCGCGACACCGCCGCGCCAGCGGCCGCAGCGACCGCCGCGGTGCCGGCCAGCGGGCGTCGCCACCGCGCGCCCAGCACGGCACCGGAGGGGGGGGGCTGGGACGGGGCCCCCCTTCCCAGCCCCCACCCACGCAGGCGAGCCCGAGGCAGGGGCCACCCCCGGCTCGGCGAGCGGCCGGTCCGACGCATGAGGCAGAGCGGCTTGAACCAGGGCTGCGGAACGCCGTCACGCACACACAAGCCATACGCCAGAAGCGCGTGGGCGCTGACAGCACTGCGCAAAACTGCGTTTCCACATGCGCTGATCATGCACAAGGTGAGAACTCAGATTGGCACGGCAAGCCCCCCTCTGCACCATGATCGCCCACTCGTTGCGCGGCCGCCCACAGCGCCTGAAATACCGCTGCGAAGCTGGGATTGTTGTGTTCCTGACGAACATATGACCTGGCGACCCTCCCGTAGAGCAGCAGTGGCTCCTGCAGCACTCCTTCGCCCCATGCGCCAACTGTTCGACAAACGATTGCCGCGGGAGGACGGCCGTCAGGCATGCGAGAAAGTGACAGCGGCAACAACAACAACAACAACAACAACAACAACAACAACAACAACAACAATTACTAGCACATGGGGACACTCCGTTCTCACCAGTGCCAGGGTTTTCATAGGAGGCGGGCAATACCCCCACTTTGTGGGGGGGCCGGTTCAAGCTCTACCAAATTTCCAAACGACTCTTCGCCACCACCCACACCCAGCTTCCCGCCCTATGACGTTCGGACACTTCACTTCGTGGCATGCGGACGACCGTGGCTACTATTCAGGGCCCCGCGGCCGACGACGACGGCGTGCGCGCGCGAAGAAAAAACGAATGTGTCCCGCATGGTATTATTTGACAGGGATGATGGCCCTGGCAGGTGCGCAACCGTTGTCGCAGAAGTTCGAAAAAGTTGCTCGCAAAAGCCCGTTTGACAGAAATGTTTAAAAAGTGTTGGGTTTCCTACGAATCCGCAAGAGCGCGCGGGATGAGATTTTGACAATTTTTTGTTGAAAAACCATTGGTTTTTTGATGTTTTTATGTTAAAATCGCTGCGAACACTAAGGTTTTGGAAGGATTTCGTCTTGCGCGCGCGAATGTCCACTTTACCTTATTTTTTGCAAGGGATTCTTGAAATTTGATTATATTAGAACAAGAAATGTCATTTTCTATTGTTTTTTGCAAGGGAAAGCGGATTACAACAAAACAACCGGATCCTGTACACACCCTCTTTTCTGAGGCTTCCTCACGAAAATGATGAAAATGTAGCTGCGGCCTAGGCGGCGCAGGGGGGGCGCGCACCAGGGGGCCCAACAACAATTATTCTTCAGAATAAATAATGTTCAACAACAACAACAACAGCAACAACAACAGCAGCAACAACAACAACAACAACAACAACAACAACAACGGCGACGACCACGACCATGATCAAGACCACGACAACGACAACAATAATAACGACAACAACCACAACAAAAATATCAGCAGCAGCAACAACAACGAAGGCAACAACAACAGCAGCAGCAACAACCACATCAACATCAGCACCAACAACAACATAAACAACATAAACGACACCAACAGCAACTACAGCACGCTTACGTCAAAGATCTAACATGCATCTTTCCAGACGCAGGAGACCGATCAGACACGTCAGCTGAGAATGGGTAACAAATTCAACGGTACCTATGTTTCCAAATGTGTTCCCGGAATCAACAAACATAATGTAAGAAACCATCCCTGCCGACACATCTAATTGCTCCTCGTAGTTCTCTGGCGGACAGCATTGATGGTCTGAACAAGGAATTACACCATCCTGGACTAGCTTCCACCCAGGGCGCGGCAAAGCAGACGCGCGTTTGTTGGCACGGTGGCGAATATACGCAGCGCCCTCAAACTGAAACTCACGGATGGTAGCACTCATATGGGATTGGGCACGAACTTCCGATCGGCGGAGGCATGTGCTTCTCTGCAGAACTTTGGAAAGATTCGGCCTGCCAGGTCCCATGGCGCAATCATGTCAAGGTGTTCACTGAAGTTGACCGTTGTGGGTTGCCATTGGATCGTTGACACTTTGCATGTGTTGTACAGGGCTGCCCATCATCACCACACCGCTTGATTGCAGTACAGATGAAGCACCGTTGCCCCGCAGGGTCCTTGCGCCACTGGTTGGAAGAGTAGGACGGCGCATCACCACGAGCATCCCCAGATGATTCCCAAGAGCGCCATGCCATGACGGCGCCGCAGCGGAAGGCATAAGCAGGCCAAAATCGCCGATGACCACAAATGGTTTGGAACATAAGTGTAAATTTACAAGTGGCTCTACCGCAACTCGGCCGCGCTGCAGCTTGAGCCAAATTTGATACGGAAACACACGTACGTGTGTGTATATATATATATATATATATGTGTGTGTGTGTACGGTTGCACACCGCTCGCCCGTTCAGGAAGCTTCTGCGCGTCAGGCGTAGCCACCTCCATCAAGGCAGGCCCCTGCCTCGACGCGCGCAGCACTGCGGCCGCACGCCACAGTCGCGCGCGAGGCAGCGCACACCACCTCTGCGGCATGCTCAGGCCCCACTCACCTACCTGACTTCGAAACTTTTTTCGAGAAGAGACCGCCCTTGTCTGCACCGCTGCCCTTGGCGGAGTCAGAGCCAAAGGCAATATTGGCCACATTCTTGGCCGCCCGACACCTCGGGCCATGATCAAAGTCTAACTCAATTCCTATGCTACGAAGCAACTGAACCTCGCGCGCATTCGAAACATCGGCCCGATTTCTTTGTATGGAGGAATGGCGAAAATCCACTTGGCCATCTCAACATCAACATTGTCACCACCGCTCATGACTTATTTCAATATTGAAGCACCTGGAAACACAAACTTTGGGCGGCAACACAGATGCTCTCGCCCCCGCAGCGGCAACTGATCAAGAAGTGCCGTCGCCACAGAGTGCGCCATACTCGTCAACCCTTTCTTTTTAACCCGATCGTCAACCTTCTTGAGAATCACATCTCGGGACTCCTTTTTCTCGCAGGTGCCGCCGAGGCGGCGCAACATTCCCGAGAAAAAGGCCACTGTTTTTTTGCCGTAAGGATTCCCGAGGTAGTCGGTTTCCTCGTCCTTTGCCTTTTTGCGAGCTTCCACGCCCGCTTTGTCGTACTGTTCGGCAGTCCAGTCCATCACCTTCATCAGCTCGTTCTCCGAGGGCGCTTGCAGCACGAAGTTCTGAACACGGCTCTGGACTGCGCAGTCCTCGTCCAACTGCAGGGTGCGCGTCGCCATCGCCTCCATCAGCTCTAGTTCCTAGGTTCGTTTCTTGCCGCCGACCGCTGCGTCCGCGACCTCGGCCACGCCACTCCCCTGGCCACGGCCTCGCCCTCTGCCTGGTCTTTCTTCGCGCCCTTGGCCTTCCGCTTGGGGTCCGCCTCCTCTGCCGCCTCGCGTGTCGGTCTCCCTGGGGTGCCGAACATCACGTTGTGTTGTCTCAACTGCTGGGGCCTCGGCAGAAACGGATTCGCCTGAGAGAAATGGGCAACAGAGGAAACGTAGATGTTTGACCAAAGATTCTCGACGGCTAAATTTGGCATTGCACTGAACACACTCCGTAGCACCACGAGGGAAAGTATCGAAATCTTGATGCGTCCTGGCAAGGTGGATCTTCAATCCACCGGGCCCCGAACACTCCGGACCGCATTGCGGGCACGTAGTGGAGTGCCCCAAGGCCCATGCAGTCTTGAGAAGAATTGTGAGGTTTCAAAAAATATGAAAGGCCCCAGCCACCGGATTCACAAGGATTTCCAGGGATTCCCGGGAATTCCCTGGAATTTCTGGGGATTCCCCGAGGTTCCCAGGGATTCCCCGGACGTGCGCGCGCGTCCTTCGGCAGCGCAGCAGGCCAAACATGGCCCCAAAAAGCGCTCAAGAACTCCGAAGATGCCTGCGAGAAGACCCGAGAGTGCCCCAAATACGCCCAAGATGGCCTCAGCACGGCCCAGTGGGCCCCGAAGACATCCCAAGAGTGTTCCAAGAAGAGTCCCAAGAAGGCACCAGGAGGAAAAAATCGTTGATTGTCCTTAGGTGTTCGAAGGTTTTTGGCCTTCTCGCCTTTTCGGCTTTCCGATGCTCCAAGACGGCCCACAGGGCCCCCAAGATCGCCCCCAGGCGACCCCAGAGGCCCCCAAGAGGGCCCCAAGACGGCCCAAGCGGGCCCCAAGACAGACCAAGAGGCGCCCAAGACGGCCCTAGAGGGTCCAAAGACGGCCCCGAGAGGGAGCCCAAACAGGGAACCCGAGCGGACATTTCGAGCCGTCGGCCCCGAGGGCCCCCCAAGAGGCCCCAAGAGGCCCCAAAAGGCCCCGAAGAGGACCCAAGATGCTCCCAAGAGGCCCCAACAGGCTCCCAAGAGGCCCCCAAGTGGCCTTGAAATTGCTCCCAAGAGGCCCCCGAGAGCGGCCCGACGAAGCATCCCTGAGAACTCTGACCCACAACCCAGGCAAGGTTGCGGGATGGGCCGAAGGCCTGAATGTATACACATACATACATACATGCATACATACATACATGCATACACACATGCATACACACATACATACACACACACACATACATACATACATGCATACATACAGACATACATGCAGACACACCTACACATGTACATGTGTACACACATGTATACGTACCCATATACACATACATATACATGTACATATACATATACCTAGACAGGTGCATATGTATATACATTTGCACATGATAATACACATACATAGACACATAGATATACGCATACCTATACATATATATATATATACATATATATATACCTATGCAAATACATATGCAAGCGCATAAACATATACATAACTATATACATATGCATATACAGATTCGGATACATAAGCAGATACGTATACATATGCAGGTGCATGCACATGCGCATATGTATATGCATATACATATACATATGCATATACGTGCACAAAGACGTATATATATGTATGCGTAGACATACACATATACATATACATATGCATATGCGCATACCTATACATATACCCACGCACATGAATATACATATACAAATTCATATAAACATGCACGTACATATGCATATACAGAGACCTATACATATACATTGATACATGCACAAACATGTACATGTGCGTATACAAAAATCTCGATATAAGTACAAGCACATATGCATATAACTATACATGTGTATATGTATATGAAATACACGCATGTGCGTATACATGGCCATCAATGACTACAAACAAATACACCTCTACATATATTTATATATACACCTGCAAATACATACATATAGACATATACAAATGCAAACGCATACATATATATATGTGTATGCATACATGTATCTTTACATGTATACAACTAGTTACATCGACCAGTCCATATACACAAACATATACATATACAAAAAAACATACATATACACATTCATCTACATATACATATACATGCCAATATACGTATACCTACACACATATATACATGCATATATGCATACGTGCATACATACATACATGCATGCATACATGCATGCACATGTGTACACAAACATAGATATATAAATGTAGACATGCATGTATACATACATACATACCTGCATGCATGCATACATACACACATGTACGCATGCATACATACATGCATACACACAGACATACGATCTATGTACACATATACATATTCATGTGTATATCAAAGTGTATGTATAGACTGACATATGTACTACACGTGTACGAATTATAAGTGTACGCACGTGCATCTGATCATCTAGACATCAACATATATATATATTCAGAGGTGCCTATACGTGTGTGTGTATATATACATGCATGTATGTGTGTATATATATATATATATATATATGCGTGTGCCAGGCCCATATCGGCGATGAATGGGCGATTGGGAGTCGACGCATCCCCCCCTGAGCTTATCACCCCTAAAGTTGCCTCTGAACAGGTGCCCTCCTCGGTTCTCGGAGGAAAGGAGGGCAGGAGGGCCAAACGGCTCCGTGGCCAGCGCCTCCAGCTGCTTCGAGCCGCCCTCTCCGCCGCACTCGGCCGCCTGCCCGCAGAGAGAGAAACGACTCGCGGGCACCCCAACGGCTCCCCCCATCGGAGGAGGCGAACGAGGTCGAGGACGAGAACGATGTCATGACACGATTGGCTCAGGATAGGTCCCAGGAATTCTGGAATATATAGCGGCCCTCGTTTATAGAATCCTGGAAATCTTACAAATCTTGGCAGGTGTCATTATCATGACCACTTGTTCCTCTGATTACGGCGGCAGATATCTGGGCGTTCGCCCTGTTTTGCAACTTGGTTCAATGCGTGCGCTCTGAGGAAGCGGACACGCAGCACGGCCGGGATCTTTACTACTGACGGGCATGCTTTTCTCATCCCGCAGCGGATTGAAGAACGCTAAGCCGCTGGTCATGTGCCGTCCAACTCCGCAACTCCGACTTCTGTCACCTCCGAGAAATGCGCAGTGACAGGTCTCCTGCCGTTGCCGGTCTGTGAGCACACGTGGCGGACTTCGGATGCTGCTGAGTGCTGCGCTGGAAAGACACGGGCTCTCGTCATTGCCGCTCCCGCGCCACCCGTTCGTCCCCCACGTCGATCCCCTTCCCTCTCCCTCCCCCCCCTTCTGACGGCCCCTGCTCCCCTCTCCTTCCCTCTCCCTCCCCCCCCTCCCCTCTCCCTCCCCTTCCCTCTCCCTCCCCCCCCTCTGCTGAAGGCCCTGAAGATGCTCGGGCCCTGTCCGCGGGGCTGGCCTGGAGCATGACCCGAAGGCGCGTCTGAGGCCCTGGCAGTGATTCCACGCGCGGCACGAGGCTTCGACATGCCAGCTCAGTTGGGGGCGTTTCCATTCGTCCATCCGTCCCCCGTCTCTGGCCTTCTTCCTCCTTCCATCCCTCGCTACTCTCTCTCCCATCCCATCCCCCCGTGCCCCCCTCCCCCGTCTCTCCCCTTCTTCCTCCCTCCATTCCTCGCTACTCTTTCCCATCCCCCCCGTGCCCCCCTCCCTGGTGCCCCTCTCTTGCAGGATTCACCCTGTCTGTTTTTTGGGGGGTCAGCCCCCGCAGTGGAAAAGCAGGGCCCCAGGGCCAGAGGGCGCGTTTTGTTTGATCGCGTGCTGACGTCACCTTCAAAGCCAGGCATCGAGCAAACATCGTGGCGACTCGCGAATGTACTGCGCGCGCCGACATCACAGTTCAAACAGGTGCTGCTGCGCGGCATTGCGCAGCTCTTCGACCCCATGCGCTTCGCGCTCACGCCAAGCAAGGAGATGGAAACGGTAATGGCGCTCGAGACATCCTGGGCAGCATCAGATGTTGGAGGAGCTTTCCGAGACAAAACTTGCAGACCATGACAATATCGTTGCAGACATCCTGACAATATGAACATATTCCAAGAGCTTGCGTCGAAAGAAGCTGTCGCTGCAGACGTCCTGAAAATTGCAGCGTCGAAAGAAGCGGGCTGCAGCGGAGAAAACACTGGGACAGCTCAAAACCCTGCGTGCCACCGCTTCGCGCGTGTCACTTCAAAATATGACACACGGCATCGGAGCCCCTTGAAGTGCAGGATCCCTGCGAGCGGTGCACCAGAATGCCCCGCAGACCTCGAAGGCGCTGCGCGTCACCGCCGTCCGCGCGAGCCTGCAGCGTGCGTCGCCGAGGTGGCGTCCAGTGAACAGGCCTGCAGAGAACTAGCGGGGGGGGGCCTTGCACCGACGCCCACGGATGGCGGCCGTGACGCCTGCTGCCACTGCTGGCCCTCCCCGACGCCACTGCCAGCGCAGCAGCGACGGTGCCTGCCGCCGGCCGCCGACCAGCACGAGCCACTGCTGCGAGATCGGGGCGGCAAAGGCAGCCGCCGATCACCCTAATTGGCTCACGAGCCCGCGGCCCGGGCGGGCCCAGGGGGAGGGCCCGAGAGGCAGCCGAAGGGGCACCGAAGGGCCCGCCATGGAGGTCGCGCGCGCGGGCTCGGCCCTCCGCGGCGGGCGCCACTCCCCAGCTCTCGCCAGGGGCGCATTCTGACGGGGATTCCAAGGCGAATCCAGCCACGGCGACGAGGGAAGGGCAGCGGCATCGGTATATTTTCCACCTCTGAGCTGCAGGGCGAGCAGCATCAGCAGCAGCTGCAGCGTCAGCAGCAGCAGTAGCAGCAGCATCATCACCACCACCACCATCATCACCATCACCATCACCATCATCATTCTGACTCATCCTGCCTCACACTACTCCCTCTAGTCTCTCTCTCTCCTCTCGAAATAAATTGTAGTCTTCGGCGATACCCCAAGCTATCCGGTGTCGGCGGTGGACAAACTTCCCTTTAGTAGACCTCCCCTTAGTGAAAACGGCATGGGACCGAAACCGACGGACCTGGACCCCCAAAAATGACGGCCGCGACGCCCTCTCGCGAACCGAAAACGGCCAATTCCTTAATCGACGTGTCAGGGTAGGAGGTCTGTCCACCCACGACGGTGGAGGGGGGGGCCAGCCAAAAGCCTAGCCTGTTTGTTTGTTCGCCTCGGGCAGCCCCACGTGGGCCCGCGCGCACCAGCACCACGCACCCGCGGACCTGCGCACCCGACAAGGTCAGGTTCTCCAAATTATCTGGGGGGGAGTCGACTACACGCAAGAGAAACCCTGGGTAAGAGTGACCTTTGGTGCGCGGCTTTTTGGCTCCCGCGGTGGGGACCAAAAACGAGCGCGCGAGACGCAACTACCGCATCGCGTTCGGCGATCGGGGGGCCCCATTGGGCCCGCAGCAAAGGTCACTCTGGCGAAAGGTCACTCTTACGTGTAGTGGAGGGAGGCGGGTCCGATAACCCAGGTGAACGCCGGCCCCCCCCCCCCAAAAAAAACAGTCTCCTCCTCCCTCTCGCCTCTCTCCTCCTCCTCCTCCTCCTCCTCCTCCTCCTCCTCCTCCTCCTCCTCCTCCTCCTCCTCCTCCTCCTCCTCCTCCTCCTCCTCCTCCTCCTCCCCTCCTCCTCCTCCTCCTCCTCCTCCTCCTCCTCCTCTCCTCCTCCTCCTCCTCCTCCTCCTCCTCCTCCTCCTCCTCCTCCTCATGTCGGCGGCGAGCCCACGGGGGAAGTGCGAGGGGGCAGGCCTGCTCATCAGCCTCGGAAGTTCCCCAGCCTTTCGAGAAGTGTTCGAGGCCTTCCCCGAAGACACCGAACACTTCTGCGAGGGCGTGAGGGATCCTGGGGAGCCCCGCCGCCCTCTGCGAGGGCCTTCTTCTGCTCACTCCCCCCTCTCGCTCGCCGCCGATCCTCCCACTCTCGGGAGCGGCCAGGAGGGGGGGTGTCCAAGAGCGGGGGGGTGCAAATCACGACCGGCGGCACGTGCGCGGCCCGGGGGGGGCAGGAACGTATTGAAATGAGAAGAGGCAACATGAAATCTGAGGAGATATCATGACCCCCGCCATGAGATCCAACCCCCCCTAGTCATCGCCCCCCTCTTTGCCGCTCCCGACACTCGCCTCCCGCCTCCTCCTCCTGGGCTGGCTGGGGCAGCGCAGCCTTCACCGCCACGGCGGCCCTGCCCGCGGCGCGGCGGCCCCTCCGCGAGCCGCCCGCGAGCAGCGCCGAGACGGCCGCCACCGCGCTGGCGCCTGGCGCGCGGGGGCGGCGCTTGGGGAGGAGGTCGCCGCCGCGCTTCGCTCGGGCCCCTCGGGCCATGAAAAGATCACGACGTGAGGCTTTCCGCTACTCTGGGCCTCTGGGGGCTTGGAGGCTTGGAAATGGACACCAACACCAACACGGGGGGGTGCCTCCACCTGGGGAAGACGATCCCAGATTTTGGTGTTGGTGGTGATCTTTCGGCCACCCAGGAAGCCCGAATACTACCACCATCACCGAAATCGGGATCGCCATCCCTCGGTGGAGGCACACCGTCGATAGTAGTGCTGGTGTCAACCTCCAGGCCTGCGAGGGGCCCTCGCAGGGCCTCGGGACCGTCAAAAGACAACTCGGGATGGGAAACAGGCTCCAGGGAAGGGGGAAGGCTGAGGAGGAGGAGGAGGAGGAGGAGGAGGAGGAGGAGGAGGAAGGTGATCGGGGTGGCGCCCGGCCACGGCCGCGCGGGCGCTCGTGCTTCTCTCGTGCCGCGCCAAAACGCCGGGCCGCGCGGCCCACACCTCCGGCGATGTAGTTGTTGTCCGTCCCGGCGTGTCTCCTCGAGCGCGGCCTCTGCCCTGACCTTCCAGGAGGGCTAAAAAATAGCACCAGGACGTCGACGTCCTAATTCCTGTCCAGATAGATCTATAGGTCTGGTGTGCTGTTTTTTAGCACTCTGGAAGGTCAGGGTGGAGCCTGTTCTCCAGACCCCGGGACCGTCAGGAAAGATCCGGGACATGGAACCGGTCCCCAGGGAGTGACCCCGAGCACCGGGTACAGATTGAAAAACAAAAAAAAACAAAACAAAAAATAAGAAAACAAAAAAAAAAAAAAAAAAAAAAAAAAAAAAAACGTGCTAGACCACGTGGGCCCCCAGCAGTAGGCTATCGCAGTGGACGTGCAAGCTACGTGGTGCAAGCTATACAGGAGGCCCCAACATGGGGTCGACAAATCGAATCGGGCGAAAATAAACAAAAGCCAGCTGTGCCATCGGATCGGCTAGAATCGGCAAGCCCGAACTGGATCGAATCGGAAACCAGCTCGCGCGAAGCTGGATCGGAATCGAAGTCGGAAGGCATGGGGGGAAAGGAAGAAGGTGCAGGAGGTGACTGGCCTGAATTTTGCCGTCGCACGTCGTCGTCGTCGTCGTCGTCGTCGCCGTCGTCGCCATCGTACGTCGTCGTACGTCGTCGTGCACGTCGACATTGGCACACGTCGTGGTTCGCGTCGTCGCACGCGTCGTCGCGCGCGTCGCCGACGTCAGTTGCCCTCGGCGGCGGGCCCCTCGCGCGTAGCCCCAAGGGCTGCAAGGGGCCCCTGGGACGCCCAAGGAACCCATGGGAGCCAGTGGGGGCTCCCGGCCTGGGAAGCCCTGCGGCCCCCCAGGGCCCCTAGGGGCCCCTGGCCTGAACGGCCCTGAGGGCCCATAGAGCCTCCCC